AAAAAAAAAAAAAAAAAAAAGAGTTTGTTTAAAAGTAAAAAGACTAAATTGGGGCTATTTTTTACCCTTTTTTAGTCTCTTTTTGGTGTTTCTATTTTAAAATTTTTATTATCTAATGTACTACGTATGTAAAACTTAACAAAAGAACTAAAAAAAGTCGAATTTCAAATTTCAAGAACCAAAAATGAGTTTTTTAAAGTAAAATGACTAAAAAAATTTGTTTTATTGAAGTAGAGGGATTAAAATGAAAATTTAACCCTCCCCCCTCCCCCCCCTTTTTTTTAATCAGCCTGGACACTAGATATTTGGTAGGCAAATTAATTTAGTAATTACATTGTCTGACCTAAGCTGAATTATCGCCTTTAGTGCACTAACACTACAGCATTTCTTAAATCATGAAGAGGAAAAAAGCAGATAAAGGACAAACTCTTTAATCTAATTAATCCAAACATCGCTCAATTCTCAAATCATGTAACGGTTAAGTCCAACTCTCGTTGCTTTCCAAATCTGAAGCACTAGAGGAAAGAAAAGAAGAGAGGAATACGTAATCGTAAAAGTTGATTGGACAGTACTGAGCAGTGCACGATCCATAGTTAACATTAACAAAGACACACTAGATGGGACTATTTAAAACAGCTTTTGTTACTTCAACGCAAAATTAAGCTATTTAATGGACCAAAGTGGATACCAAGAAACTCCAAGAATCAGCTTCTGATTCAATAGGGAGAGGTCGGTGAGGTTACAATTATCTAATGCCTAAATTCAAATAGTATTTCGATTCTTCTAGCAAAAGGCCGGTACATGGCCTCATTAAAGTCAGCCATTTCAGCTGGCACAAACGAGGATAGGCTGCAATGAAAGGGACCTAACTAGGTGAGGTCTCGCAATATTCCAGCATATGTTTTTGACGTTATTTTTGTGTTTATCGATAAATGTGTGAAAGCAACCAATCCCAGAATCAGGCATATATATATCCTTTTCTTTCAATTGGAAGCTTAAATATGATGCTATGTATATTATATATCATTATTCATATTTTTTAAACAGTACTTTTATTAATATTAGAGTACAATTAACAAGTACTCTAACTCTTACATCTGCTAATTTCTGTTTTTATTATTACGATTAGATTTGGAGATATTGTAAATTATTCAATTACGAGTGATTAAGGGATGCTTAGAGACTTTGATTATGTCCCATATGTATCTTATTTCAAATAGTAGTACGTAGAATCTTGGTAGTTCATACTTGGTTCATTTATTTTTGGGAGGGAATGAAATGCTGAAGAACAAAATTAGATCTTTATCCGAAGGGAGGAAGAATAATTAACTATCTAAGCGAGACTTTCTACCTAGCAATGGGGAGAATTGATTTATTCGTGATTCTCATTTGGATATTCTTGCCTAACGTTGTGAATATTCTCATTCTGTTACGTGCTAAAAGCATCAATAATGGCTCCAAAATACATTATGGCAAAAAAAAAAAAATCCCCTGTTCGAATTAGGTAGAGAATTTAGAGCAAAGGTGTAAAAAAAGATGTCAACTTTAAAATTTTTTCTATTTAAAGATGTTAATTTTGTCAATTACTAAATAAAAATGTTAACTTTCAATATATTTTATTTAAGAATGTCAACTTTTAACTTTTTCTATTTAAGAATACTAACGTTAAAGTTTTTCTATTTAAGGATTAATTAGATAATGATGCTAATGTGGCAAATGGATTTTTTAACCAAAATGTTAAAAGTTAGTATTCTTAAATTAAAAAAAAAATTAGAAGTTGATATCCTTAAATAAAAAATGTTGAAAGTTGATATTTTTATTTAGAAATTAATAAAATTAACATTCTTAAATAGAAAACTTGTAAAATTGACATCTTTTTTTGCACCTTTACTCAGAGAATTTATACCAGTTATAGTTATTATTTATATACATTGAATGAAAGAGTTTGGCATGAAGGAAACAGACACAAGTAGCCCAATTAAAATTCTGTGATATATACCCTTCAGTGAAGCTTTGGCCTAATAGTTTGTGAGGTAAAGAACTTCAAATTTTTGTAGGTTTGTAGTTCAATTCTAATTAACTTATTCTAATTTTGTTTAGTTTTTAATTTCATTGTTTTTTTATTTTTTATTTTTATTTTGAGCTGTCCAATGTGAGGCTCTCATATTTTATTATTTCAATTTATACATATACTTACAGTTTATACATATATCCTTAAAAAAATTGCTATTTGAAATTTTGAATGTATTTTTTTGG